CTCACAATTATTTGAATTTTATATTTATGTTGCACACACAACAATGGACAAAAACTGAATATTTAAAATGGTATAATTGGAAATTTGTGGTGAGTGAGCATTATGCTTTCAACTCATATAATACCTGTAAAAAACATTTGTAAAGAAGTATGTGCCGAGTGAGCATTATGTTTATGATATAGTAATGTCACTTTTTAAGTTATTTGAGAGCTTGTGCTATCCCCTGAGATATTGATTTGTTATAAATCGATGAATATTTAATCCTCCCAAATATGCTTGCAAGTGAGATATAAAAAAAAGGCTCATGCATTAATCACATTAAAAGAATCACGTCATTTCAATTTTTTATTTTTATTTTATTAAATTATATATATATATATATAGTTCAATAATGTAGGTATCTTTAGCAGCTAGAATTCTGCATAGAATAGTATTCGTAAGGAACAGTTGGTGATCATTCGTAAGGAATAGTTGATGATCATTCGTAAGACTTGCCTACTCGGGTAGTCTTGTCTACTCATCGATGAATATGTTCTCTCTACCGATTATTAATGTGATCCAATCACAAATACATTAATAATTAGTAATTATAAAATATAAAAAAAAAAAAATTAGAGAGGATGATTGAATTTATTCTAAAAAATATTATTATCCTTATTTATCACTTTTTATTTTATAATTATAGACTATTTGTACATTCATGATTGTATTACATCAATTTTTAGTACGAATAACTAACTCACTAGTAAATAGGCAAGTCTTATCGGTATATAGTTAAAAAATATGAAAAGTTATAAATAATGAAATAAGAGAGTGTGACCAAATTTATTCCAAATATATATATATATATATATATATATATATATATTATCCTTATTTATCACTTTTATGATTATAATTTTGTAATTATTAATTATTTGTGTATTTGTAATCACTAATGACCGGGTGATTAGTCAAATGTTATCCTTTTTTTTAACTAAGTTTAAAAGAAAAAAAATCAAACAAACAGACAAGTGATTTGACAATAATGTCATTCAATTCACCGACTTATGATGCTTTACAACTCAAATGATCACTATAATACTATGATTTGGCCCTCCCAAATGAAAATCTAACCTCCCATTTTCCGTTTTTTTTTTTTTTTTGACGGACAAACTACTCTGGCCGGTGCCCACATAACCTTTATATATTTAAAATTTTGACGGATGTCACTAACTTGTCCAAAATCTTTTTACATGATTTTCAATTTTCACTCTAAATGCAGATGACTCGGTAATTCAACAAATTAGTGTCTTTGATAAATTTTAGAGTGCCAAGTCTTGACTTTTTATATTTACTAATTTAATTTCAAATACTTCTTTTCTTATAAAAAAAATTAAAAATCATTCTAAATTACGCATTAACAACAACAAATTTATGCATACAAATTACAACTATCAATAAATTCTACAGTAGATGGTAAACTCACATCTTCTAAAGGTTGGGTGTGCGAGTTTCGGTAAGGCAAAAATATATAGGTAAATTACACTGATCTTTAAGAGTTCGTTTGGTAGGAATGAAAAAATTTGGATGAAATTGAAAGAACAATGAATGAATGAGATATCCCTAGAAAAGAGATTATATTCTTCACTCTTTTGTTCGGTTGGATGGAAAAGAAAAGAAAAAATTGACAATTTACTTTGATCGATAAGATAAAAGGCAATATAATTTTTTAAGTTATTTTTACCATTAAACCCATCACTTACTTTATTTATGGAAGAAATTAAATATTTATAAAGGATGATGCAATAATTTAAAATTTATATAATAGACCCACTTGTCTTCTCTTCCATCTTCCATCCATATTTAGACGGATGAAAAATTGCGAATGAGGAAGGATAACTTATATCACCCCTATTGAATGAAGGAAGCATTTGAGCCGTTATTACTTTGACCTCTCCTGAGATTAAGCGCATATGCTCAACGATACCCTGCCAATAATAAAAATTAAAAAAAATGAATAAGTTGTCATTATTTATATTAAAAGACCTCAATAACCTTATATTTTGACATAAAATGACAAAAATACCATACAATGCCAATACAATGCAAAATATTAATTTTCATATTAATTTTGTATTATTAAATTTTACATTTTTTTTCGTTAATGACATGGTTTCTTTTTAGGGTTTGATTAGGTTCCTTTTTTTTTTTTTCTAAAAAAATAAAATAGGTAAGGTAATATACTTAGAGTTTACAAATGGGGAAAAAATAAAAAGGGTAATAGTTTTTTGGTTCGATATTCAAAAAAATAAAAAAAAATAAAAAAAAAACTAGAGTTAACAAATGGGGAAAAAATAAAAAGGGCAATAGTTTTTTGGTTCAATAATTTTTTTTTTTTTTTTTTTTTTTTTTTTGAAATTAGATAAGAGTATAAAAAATATTTCAAATTTTTAAAAAATATCAAAATAATAAAGGCTAGACGTTTTGTCCGTGTAATTTACCAAAATATACTGTGGACGTCTATTTGTATTGTGGTGGCATTGAGTATGAAATGGACTTTGACTAGACATTGCGATTTTTTATTATATTAAAATAACAAACACATTAACAAAACAATCACTGCTACCATGTACTATATGTTGCTATCTGATCAAAGGATAGACAAAGAAGTTTATGCCTATGTGCTTGTAATGTTGTTGTAAATCATAATACGTAGTTGAATTGAATGCCAAGGAAGTCTCTATCTATTCAAATTATTTGGACAAATTATTACTAGTATAATCATAGTAACCAAACAGACAAGGGTTGGTACAGAAAGCAGAGGATTTTGGTAGTATAAATATTAGGAATGTCTGACATTATTGATGACGTACAATTAGATATTAAGACTTGTATACCTATATGTTACTAATTATTATTAACTTAGATACATGGTATATATATATATATATATATATATATATATTTAAGGACGTGGAACCATTTCAGTCACATGTGACTCTGCTGGACAATAAGGTAAATCCAAGGTGTGCAAGGATTAATTAATTGTCGAATGGTTTATAAATGTCAATTAATTAGGCCACTTTACACGTCTTAATCGAATGGTTTATAAATATCAATTAATTAGGCCACTTTACACGTCATTAAGACGTCAAAAATCATATAATGCTTGTTTTCTCATCGGAGTTGATTAGCCTTATGATTTAATGGTAGAATGACACATGCCATCTTTATTTATTTATTTGTTATTTTTATTTTATTTTAAATTCAAAATGGATATGTTGTTCCATTATTGTGGAACATGACTTTGGTCGTGAGGACGAAGTTTTTGTGTTTTTTGGTGACAAGTATTACTTTTATTAATTTATATTTTTTTATTTTATAAAATAAAAAGGATTAAAAGTTAGATTAGTAAATGCAGAGAGTCAAAATCTGGTACTCTAAAATTTATGGAAAGCACTAATCCACTAAACTATCGAGTTATCTGCATTAATTCACATTTACATTTACATTTACATTTACATCTTCGTAAATTTACATTATTTTAACAATATAAAATACAACATGAATAATAATAATTAAAATGTAAAATTAAACCTAAATAAAATACAAAAGATACAGTACATAAATAAAATAAAGACAAATAAAATATAGAGTTCAAGAAGGGCAAATTTCTTAGAGAGATATACGCGTGTAAACATATTATCAAGAAATTGTTGTACTAGTTGACTTATACAATACAATCAACTCGCAACGTTATCATCAGTTCTATACATATGAAATTATATTCAAATTTATATGAGTTTGTTTGGTTAGACAATTTTTTTTGATGGAGAGTGAAAGAAAAATCAAGTTTCTAGCATAGATTTGGTTAGCGGAAAAGTTTTTTAAAAAGTTGTGAGAAAATATTATTTTGTTCGTTTATATAGCATGAAAGGGAAAATAAAATGATTCTACTTACCAAAACTTCATTATGATTTTAAATATTAAAAAAGTAAATGAATTTGTTTTAGATAAATTCACTTTTAGCCCAATTTTTATATCAATTTTTAGCAAAGAAGTAAAATGATGAATTATTCAAAATAATAATATAATTGTTTATATTCATATCTAGATTGTTTATATTTAAAATAAGGTTTCATAATATTTTTCTTTGGTGGAACTCATTACTGGTTTAAACTCGAAGAGGGAACAATTAACAAGTTAAGAGAAAAGAAAATAAAGAAAAGTACAAAAAAAATAAATAAAAAATAAACAACCTTAACCTAAGGAAAAAAAAACATAAGAGAGTGGTGCTACTATGAGGTATCCCTTATGATACTTCTTCTGAGTTCTCATTTAAATTTTCATATTTTAGATAAAGAAAATATTGCAAAAATTATATTATTATGTTACCAATATTAAAGTGATCTCATTGTAAAAAAATAAAAAAAAATTCCGTCCAAAATACCATAAAATGAAAGTATATGATGTGCCTCAATTAATATATAATTTGGTCAAAAGAAAGAGTGCATAAAACTTTGATTGATTCACTGTAAATGAATTTTGGTACGAAATTTTGATTGTATAATTCTCATACAAATCTCTTTCAAACACTTAGATTTGTGTCTTAGCATTTGTACATGATCATGTCAATAGGACAGAGAGCTTGTGTCATTATTGATAGATTGACAAAGACGGCTCACTTCTTGCCTATTAAGGCAACAGATGACGCAGAGGCACTCGGTGTGCTATATGTGAATGAGATTATGAGGTTACATGGAGTTCTAATAGCCATTGTTTCAGATAGGGATGCCAAATTCACTTCGAAGTTCTGAGAAGGACTTCAAGCAACTTTTGGTTCATCATTGCACCTTAGTAAGGCATTCTATCCACAGACGGACGGCCAGTCGGAGCGTACCATCCAAATTTTGGAGGATATGCTTTGGACATGTGTACTTGATTTGGGAGATAGTTGGGAAGATCATCTACCGCTTATTGAGTTTGCCTACAACAACAGTTACCAGGCGAGCATTGAGATGGCTCCAATTGAGGCGTTGTATGACAGACCTTGTAGGTCTTCAGTCTGTTGGATTGAGATGGGCAAGACAGCCGCCTTAGGACCCGACATTGTAGTCAAGACCACGGAGAAAATTAAGTTAATGGGACAGAGGTTGCTCACAGCTCAGAGCCGACAGAAGAGCTATGCAGATAAGCAGAGGCGGCCATTATTATTTGAGGTAAGTGACCACGTCTTTTTACGGGTTTCTCCACGGAAGAGTTTGATGAGGTTCGGGAAGAGTGGCAAGTTATCGCCACAATTCATTGGACCGTTTGAGATCTTGGACCGAGTAGGAGAGGTTGCCTACAGACTTGCGTTGTTACCACAGATAGACAGGGTTCATAATGTTTTTCATGTGTCGATGCTACAAAAGTATGAACCAGATCCGTCTCACATTTTGGATTGGATTGATGTGACTATTGATGAGAATGTTTCCTACGAAGAGGGACCAGTTCAGATTCTTAACGCATGGCAGAAGGTGTTAAGGGATAAGATGAAACCGTTAGTGAAGGTTCTTTTTTGACACCACGGAGTCGAGGAGGCTACTTGGGAGCTTGAACAGGAGGTTCGCTCCAAGTATCCAGCATTGTTTCCTTTCCCAGGTATGGCTTGATTTCGGGGACGAAATCCTTTTAAGTTGTGGAGATTGTAATGTTTTCATTTTTTACCATTTTCCATTTTCGAGAATTTTCTGTTTTCGCAAGGGCATTTTTGTTTTTTCTCGTTTTTGGTATCGGACATAGTGGGGAGTGCCGGGTGTGTCCGTGAGTTGGTTGGGGCGTTTCATTGAGTTTAGGACTTTTTGAAATGCAAGGTTTGTCATTTTTGTATTTTTTCAGTTTTTCGGGCCGGACGGTCCTGTGTGGGACCTACTACCAAAATTGTTGCATACGGGGATTTTAGTTGGGTCCATTTGCATCTCATGTATTTTATTTTATGTGTTTTATGTGGTATTTATGTGATTTGTGTGCATATATGTATAAATTATGGTAAAAAATTAAATAAAAAAGACTTTTCATTAGTGGTGGGACCCACCACTAACATTTATTTGTGGCTTAGAGACCAATTTGGTCTCATTTCTTCTTTCTCCCCGTAATCCCTCTATTCCTCTCACTTTTCTTCTCTTTTTCTTTTCTTTTGATCTTAAACTTCAAGTTTCAATTACTTCTTCAATTCTTGGAATTTTTGGGTGCCGTTTGTGGCAAATCGGAAAGCACGGCCAGATTTACGCGTTGATATAAGCAATTCCTTATTTGGTGCACTCTAGGGATTTCGAATTAGGACCCATTTTGAGGGTTTTTCTATAAAATTGAGGTAGGGATTTCTAATTCCCAATTTCTTGCACCTTTGTGAATTTTTCTACAATATTTGTTGTCAAGCATGTTTTATTTGAATTGATTGCCTCAAAAATGATTTAATTGTTGTGTATGAAGTTCATGACTATGTGTAAAAGTTGATTTGTGTGAAAAGCATGCTTAATTGTTGATTTTATATGCTTATGTGCTTGGTAACTTGTTATAAATTGTTATGTGAATACATGTTGATTTTATGAAATTATGAAGCTCCTTATTGTCATAATATTGTAAGGCATGAGATATTCATGCATATTATTGGGCATAAAAGATTTAAAACGAAAGAAAAAGTGACTTTTGGGAAAGTTTTGATTAAAGGGATTTTGTAATACCCCTAATTTTAAAAGGATAGTCTCGGTATTTATTTATTTGTTTTAATTGTATTTTTAATTATTTAATTGATTATTTGACTAATTACTTATGTGTTTAATTGAATTAGGTATTACTTGATTATTTGATTATGTGTCTATGTATTATTTGTATTTGTCTATGTGTTACTTGCTTAAATGGTATTTTGATTAATTGTAAATTAAATGTTTTCTTTTCTTTTATTATTTTATTTTATTTTTCTTTTATGGTTATAGTTAGGAGTAATGGGCCAACCAATTGGGTCCCATGGACTACTTGGATAGGAGGTTGGATGTGTATGGATTATTACCCATGGATAGTTGTGTATGTATATATATAGATATATATTATATACATATATAAAAAGGAAAGTAATATATTAATTACTTTTATGGTAACTTGGGTAGTAATATTTAATCTGATGTATATGTTTTATATTTAAATAATAAAAATATACATAGATTTGATACGTGTTATGTTTTAAGCTACTTTATAATATTATGGTAACTTAAGTATTATTGGATAATCCATTAATAAATAATGGAATGTGTATAATTTATTTATTTAATAAACATATACATAAATTATATACGTAACATATTTTTCTTACATTTTTAATATATATAAAAGGGAAAGTAATTTATTAATTACTTTTATGGTAACTTAGGTAGTAATATTTAATCTGATGTATATGTTTTATATTTAAATAATAAAAATATGCATAGATTTGATACGTGTTATGTTTTAAGGTACTTTATAATATTATGGTAACTTAAGTATTATTAGATAATCTATTAATAAATAATAGAATGTGTATAATTTATTTATTTAATAAATATATACATAAATTATATACGTAACATATTTTACTTACATTTTTAATATTTTAATATTTATTTTTTTTAAGTTGACTTGGATTGGGAAAAGGGTTAGGGTTATTTTATTTAGCCTATAAATATATAGCTATAGGTTGTAAAAGGGGGTTAGAAATATTCACGTGATATATTTTTTAGAGAGAGAGAGAGAGAGTTAGAGAGGGAATGAGGAAAAAAAACCCTGTAGAGAGAAGATCAAAGAAGAAGAAGTTTAACTTTCGATCCGAAAGTTTGAGACAAGTTCTTCTTCTATCTCTTTCCCTTTGATTCGTGTTTCTATGCATGATTAGGAAATTCCAGGATTTATTAAACACATAAAATTAAATAATTATGCACGTTTAATTGGATTAAAACATAGGTTTTATGAAATTGGTTCATATCTGTTTTTGTGTTATGAATTGATAAATGCATGATTTTGATTTGATTTTCGGTGTGAATTTTTATATGTTTACATTATGTATTTTTCATATCTGTGGAATGATGGAACGTAGAAACATGCCTAGGATTCCTGAACATTAAATAAGAACTAGGTTTGGGTTTAAATAAATTTAAATAGACTCAATCATAATGATGCTTGCTATTTGAATGTTTTAAAACAAACGAATGGATTTAATCTTTTAAAAATATTTTAGCAATTAAGATTAAATGTGTAGGATGAATTGGATATGAAGAATGCTTATTTGACGGTATAATAAAATATCATCATTTATAAGATTCAGTTTGTGTGGGACATATGATATAGCAAGCTTAAATAAATAATAAGTCATTCCTATTTTGTGATAACTTGATATCATATTATCATAGTTATTTCTGGATTGTTTGATGTATTTCGTTAATCGTTATATTAATTGTTGGATTGTGTGGTTTAATGCACCGGTATAGGATGGTAGCATTCTAGGGACGGATTAACTTTTCAGTTAAGTCCTACATATTTTATATAAGGGAATAGATTAACTAAAGTATTAAATCCTACTTATATTCAAGTCAGGTCAGCTGAACAAGTTGAATGACTTATGGAGGATTAATTTACTATATAAGGGAATGGATTAACTAAAATGTTAAGTCCTACTTATATTCAAGTCAGGTTAGCTAAACAAGTTGAATGATTTATGGAGGATTAATTTATACTGAATAGGATGGTTACTAGATTATATATATATAAGTATGGTACCATGATATGAGCTTGAGTCTCAGGATCAGTGGTTAGGGTGTGTATATCGCCAGGGATGCGTAGCTAGATATAGTGTAGTTGTGTACCCTGGTAGATCTAGGTACTCATGCCCACTATATGTGCGTTTTGCATGTTGCCTACTATTCAGGTTGAGACAACCCTGTAGTCTAGTGAGGTTCCTTTAATGTGTGTGTGTGTGTGTATATATATATATATATATATATATATATATATATATATATATACGGACTACTAGTTACTGTTGGATTGACTAGGATGTATACGTGTATTTGATCTCTGCTTGGACTGTAGTAGAGTAGAACTTGTTTGTGGGCTTGACCCACCATTATTTTTCAGGTGTTCGTCAGGAGTAGAGGTTGTTCGTGCTGAACGAGGATCGGTCTACTTCATTCTTCCGATGCTACATAGGAGTTCCTTTATGATTCAGTTTCCTAATTTAGACAGTTATTGCTGTCATTTGTTTAGTTTGGATTTTCTAGGGGTCCACACAGTATGGATTCCCGAGTTGTATTTTGGAGGATCAGTTGTATCAGAAGAGTTTAGTAATTAATGGAAATATATTCTGAGGTTTATTATTAGATTATCATTTTAGTTTCTTGTCAGCATTTTATTTATTCTTTTTTATTCTTTTGTACTCTGTGTTCGTTTATTGCCGATTTTGTTTTTGATATCCTCGGGTATTCGGGCGTGGGCTTGGCCAACCCGCATTCGGGAATTCGAGGGTATCACAGATTTTGAGAAAACCCGGATGCCGAGGAGGTACTGAGGGTTCATGGCATTAATGTTACCTAGAGGGAACTAGGGAAATCACCCTAGCGTGGTTGAGCTAGCTGGGCCCTAAATAACACCGCGGGGTTATTAAGGGTCAGGGACTGTAGCCAATCCTTCTCTCGTGTCGCCGAGGAGTCACCGAGGGACGGGTTATGTTAACGGTTTGAAAAGTGATGGATGGTTTTGAAAATGGGGAGCCACATGGCATGGCATAGCATTTCATAGCATCACATTATTCATTTGGACTTGAAATTGATGTTGTATTTTCTCCAGCATAGCATGATCCCGTTTTTTCTATTTCTATTCATTATTTGGATTCACGGAATCACAAGAGGTGTGTCTTAGGCACCACCTACTGAGCAAATTGCTCACCCCTTATATTTAATATTTTTCAAGTTACGGGAAAGAGGTGACGGATGATAATCCACCACAGGTTTGAAGGAGACTAGAAGTTTATTTCCCTTGTCATCTTTTGTATATTAAGCCATCATTTTGCAAAAGTATCATTTGATGTGTTGGTGTGATGCCATCGCTAGCACCAACAAAGTTGCAATGAAAGTGTGGCCAAGTTTAAATTTATAAAGTGTCACTACTACTTCTAACTACTAATATAGCTAGGGTGAGTAGGGATCATCCCAAGGGATTGTGGGCTATGTTAATATGGAAACAAGGTTGGATTAGTAGGTCGAATGATCAAAAGGTGTTTTGATTGGTTAATTAGACTACAATATAAATAAATTCAATACTAAACAATTGAAGTAAATAAGAGGGTAGAAAACAAGAGAGAGAGGTCTTGGGATCTAGAAGTCACCACTAAATATCACCATTCTAGACATTCAATATGTAATAAATGAGGGGAAACATGTGTTGCAATACATAGTGGTGTGATTGATTGAATCAACAAGCATGGATTGACTAATTAAGCATATAATGTCTAGACAACCTAGTGAATAGCACAATATATCAAACTAAGCGATTATTCTTT